TGCATTCACTTTTTCACCTTGAGCATTAAAAAGTGACATTCTGTAGATTTTGTACTTACTTGGTAGTGCTTCTGTGTCATCATTTCCCTGTGATATGAGTGATATCCAAGTGGAGGAGTGGTACAAGAGTCTTGTACAAGTTAGTATGAACTGGGATTGTGAGATGCACTAGGACTTTTGTCTGAGTTAAGATTGCAGTATGCACGTTCCCTAGGTCCTTGCAAAGTAGAGTCATTATTTTCCCTCCCAGCATCAGCAGCTTATAAATAAATTTTATCGTTACTCTTTATTTTGCATTTATGCTTGTCTTTACTTTTGCTGTTTGTTTCCAGTTTATTCTCTATAAAATGTGTTGTTTATTGCAAATCTTAAGACTGTTGAGTGCTGGTGAACCTGTATACCACAGACTAAGTTATTAATTTACATATCTTTACTATCTATTAACCTTTTATTCAAGGGATCACTTCATTGGACTGATGCTGTATGGGAAAATTAATGTTTACTATAATTCTATATTTACTAAGTGTATCTTCACAGATTTGGTCAAAGTTTTAGTAAATGTGAAAGTTCTATTCTATACAAAAATCCATTTCTATTATGGATGCATCTGAGAATCTACAAAGCCTTTACTGAGTCATCTTATAATATTCATACTTCATTTGTATAACCTCTAGAAACTCCTAAATTCATATCAGAAGTTGAAAAATATGGAATAAAATTAAAAATACTTTGTTTTTCTGGAATGACTGAAGATTGTAACAGTTTTTTTACCCTAACAACCTCTGGCTCATAACAGTTTACATATATTTTCATTTAAATATAGTTTTATTTTCAATGTGACAAACTAGTGTAACAATCAGGAGCATATCTACGGAAAATAGTGCCTATGGCAAGCACTGAAATTGTGCCCCTGTCCAAACATCTGACACCTATCTTTTAGATAACTTTACCATAATAAAAGTCAAGCTCCTTAATCTTTTAATTAATAAATTATGGCACTATATGAAAATTACAATTGTACCTCCCTTTCTTTCACTTATGCAAATTGGTCTATGATGT